ATTTTAATACAATGCATTATATACACTTAAAAAAAACAAAACATTAACATTAAACGTGCTAGCTTTAAATGTTATCTGAAGACATAATAACAGCACTTGTCAGAAGTGGGTTTTCTCTGCAGGAGAAACTAATGAGGCTAAGACGAGCCTCATTAGTTTCTGGAAACTGTCCCAACAATAACCACTAGGAAGTCTTTATTCTACACGGTGGTTCTGTGGTCTGATGAGGCCGACAGATGGGGGGCGGTGGGTGAACGGGTGCCACTGGCCCTGGATGCTGGGACTGTCGGTGTGATACGGCTTGCGGATGCGGATGATGTCCTGGCCAGATTGGTCGGTCAGCTTGGTGAGAACCTCTAAGACCTGCTGCGACGTTTTGTTGCTGAGCAGCTCCTCCTTTGTGTTACCATTTACTGCAGGGTGGGAGAGTAAATGTATCATGTGGTGAGAGACTGAATGGGAACAAGACAAACGTGTAACTCTGACAGAGTTACATGTTTGTCTAGGTCTTGTTCCTGAGTATTAATCTTAGAAAAAGGGGTAACATACTGCCCCCTACAGTACATTAAGAGTGTTACATCACAGTTCACACTTTCTCATAATTAGCTAATTTATTACACAGTGATATGGTATTTGCATTTTGCTTCATGACTGTTTATTTATTTATTTTTTTAATTTATTCTTGTTCTGGTTCCTGTTCTGTTATTAGATATATTAATGTGCAAAATTTATATAGACTTTAATCGTAGTTGCATATCTATGAAGGAACGGAAAAAGTCTGAATTTGTCATGTGAATGCAACATTGCAGTCTATCTGAAATCACAAACAGGTCGATTTTGTAATGAAACCCAGATCTTATTTAAATCGAACAAACTCCTTAAGTGGTTTAAAATCTAGTCAAATCATTTCAAACGCTTCCGAATTACATGGCAATCAAGCAATTTATGAGAGCATGTAAACTTTTGAAGAGACCTGCATGATAAGAGAGAGCCTGAGTCTTAGTTTGAAATTTGACTTTTTTCAAATATTTTATCTAAACATTAATAACCGGAGCCCCATGTGTAAGGATTTAAAAATGCTTTCAAGAGAACACAATGCTTTTCCCTGATTCTATATTTGTGATGATCTTTGGAACAATCGGGACATTTTTACCAATTATTAATCACATAACTACAGTACAAATAAAATAAAACCATCATGAGAAGACCAATTCAATATTTAGTCAATATTGTGGGTACTTACAGTACTCTGCAACTACTTTAGGGATACTACAGAGCTGAGGAGAAACATAAACAACAGTCCCAGGGTTCTTCTTGGCAAAATCCACCACTCCCTCCTCAATGAAATCCCTACAGGAGGAGAAGATGAACTAGTTTGTAGACAGTTCTACAAATAAGGCACGTTTTAAGAAAGAAAGTAAAGCGTGCAACATTTCAGTAGATATTTGACAATATTTCTTACAATGAAAAAAGGTCACTGGCTTTGACAGTTCCAGCTGGGACTTTAAGTACACTGTCACGTAAACAAACTTCTGGATTTATAGTGAGATTAAATTACACACAGATGGAATCTACTTACTAAACAGGGGACTTTCTGAAGGACAGAGTGTCCTTTTATAAAGCCACTGTCAGTCTTTCACGTAAAATTCTAAAAAATCGTTAAAGTCTGCGGTTGTACAGAGACAAAATGTAAATGTGCAAAGGAGTACAATACCAATGTAGTATATATATATATATATATATATATATATATATATATATATATATATATATTTTTTTTTTTTTTTTTTTTTTAATCCCTCACCTCCCAGTGGCCTCGAGAACTTCTGGGGGAACTAGATGGAAGCCCGTTTCAGTTGACACACGTATCGGCCCACGCCGTTCTGAAGAACGCTCTTCAGGAAGCGGCTGGGCGTCCCTCTGGATGTCATCCTT